ACCACAGAGTCCGGGCACCGCTCCGGGGTCAAGAGCGTGTGGCTGACGACAGACTCCAGCACATTGAAGCAGGTCGACCGGGACACGCTCGAGCCGATCGGGCTCGCGGAGCAGAAGGACCTGCACCCGTCGCTCCGGGGCCCGATGAGCTGCGCGCACGCCCACGTCGACCGGGACACGGGCGACCTGTTCAACTACAACCTGGACCTGGGCAAGACTTCGACGTACCGCGTGTTCCGGGTTAACGCGGCGACGGGCACGACCGACATCCTCGCGACCATCGCGAGGCCGGACGTGCCGCCCGCGTACGCGCACTCGTTCCTGCTCTCGCGGTCCTTTGTCATCCTGTGCGTCGGCTCGACGCACATCGGGCAGATGGGCCTGAGCGTGGTGTGGAACCGCAACATCGCCGACGCCATCGAGCCGTTCGACGAGAGCAAGAGGTGCAAGTGGATCGTCGTGGACCGACGGCACGGGCGCGGCGTGGTCGGCACGTTCGAGACGGCCGCGGGGTTCTTCTTCCACAGCGTCAACGCCTTTGACGAGGACAGCATCGCCGGGGGGGCCGCCGGGGACGTCGACCTGTTCTGTGACGTGCTCGAGTACCCGACGCTTGACGTGATCCGGAGCTTCGAGCTCGACGTGATCCGCGGGACGCAGCCGGGCAAGACGGGCGACGGCGAGAAGCACACGCGCGCCGGGTTCTGGGGCAACACCGAGACGAGTAGGAACAGCCTGCCGACGCTTGTGCGGCACAAGTTTGTCGTCCAGGGTTACAACCGCAAGCCCGCCTCGAACAGCAAGGGCCTTCTGGCCACCCTCGTCCCGTGGCCCGTCAGCTCCGCAGCCACCTACGCCGCCGACACCGTGCGAGGCATCGCCCCCAGCCTCCCGAACATTCCGATCCCCGGCCTCAGCGGCAACGGTGGCAACGACCCGGTCTGGCAGTTCCGCCCCGGCGAGCGGGTGTGCGCGATCCGCGCGCCGCGCGTGGGCGAGCTCCCCACAATCAACCCGCGCCGCGCCGCGCGGCGGTACCGGTACGTCTACACGCTGCCCAACACGGGCAAGACGGCGCTGCTCGACAGCATCGCCAAGACGGACGTCGAGACCCAGACGAGCCTGTTCTGGGATAACCCCCGGGGCCATACTCCGGGCGAGGCCATCTTCGTGCCGCGGCCGAGGGGTGCGTCGTGGGGGACGCCGACAAAACCCGGTAAGAAGCGGAAAGAGGAAAGGGATGGCGACGGCGAGCAGGAACAGGAGCAGGACGAGGACGACGGCGTGCTGCTCAGCGTCGTGCTCGACGGGCTCGGCAAGACGAGCTACCTCGTCTGCCTGGACGCGCGGGACATGACCGAGATCGGCCGCGCCGAGTGCGAGTGGGCCATCGGCCACGGGTTCCACGGGATGCACGCCCCTGCTGTAGCCGTCGCTGGCGGTGCCCCGGCTGCTCCGTAGAGTTGTTTTTCCTTGGTGGTGGTGGTGGTGGTCGTCAATCGCGAAGTGTGCCCTCGTATTGTAGATGGGGGCGTGGCGATGGTCGTGCGCAGCGTCATGGGCGATTGTTATTATCGGGCCTTGGACTTGTTAGTCTTGGAGAACGTCGAGCGTGGAAGCTCCAGCTTGGGCATATTTGACTACCGATAGGTCATTGTGTAGATAGAATAGAATCGAAATTCTAAAGGATCGAGTCCCTCATGCCTCTCTTTTCTCTCTCTCGTGCTGTGCATGCCATTGGGTACAACGAGTTATGAGGAGCCATTGTGGGCAAAGGCCGCGATGGCATGGTCAGGAGGTTTGCTCATTTTGCCGCGTGGAATCTTTGGAGGACTGTCCTCAGTGAGACTTGCCAAGATTACTCGACTACAAAATTCATTTCCAATCTCCAATATCCCCCTATGTACATATCCATCCCACACATCCCCTCTTGACTGATAATGTGTATCATGAAGTCTTGAACTTCCCAGCCTATACCTACATCGCTGCCTCTACCTCTTGACGTGCGTAAGTCTACACATCAGCGGCGGCTTGTTCCACGTGTTGAATGCCTTGACGTGCCTGCAGTCGCCGCTGGGGTCCCAGATGTCGAACTTTTTGTTCTGACTCACAGGCAGGTCAATGTCGGACCGCTCTACGTCAAAGTGCCACAACAAGTGAGCCAGGATAAGGCGCAGCTCAAGGTACGACAGATGCTTGCCGATGCAGCCTCTGGGACCCAGGCTGAACGGCTGGCTGGCATCCTTCTGGTCGTTGGCGAACTCGGGACCAGCCTCCTCGGCAAGCCAGCGCTCAGGGATAAAGTCGTCGGGCATGTGGAAGTTGCGGGGCGAGTGTGTAGCTGACCACGAATACACGGACACAGTAATGCCACCAGGGAGCCACTCGCCGTCGACGGTGTCGCCGCCCTCGGGCACAGTACGGGTGAGTCCAGTCGGGATCGGCGGAAAGATGCGCAGGGCCTCGTCGATGCAGGCATTCATGTATGGCAGCTCAGCGAGCTCGGTGAACTTCATGTTTTTGGCCGAGTGCGGGAAGCTGGTGCGGATCTCCCGAGTGAGGCGATCGTAGGCGTGAGGTGTGCGGAGCAACCACATGAGGAGCCCAGATAGCAGAGATGCTGTTGTCTCGGAACCGGCGACACTGCGCATGGAAGAATCAGCACATAGGTAATACGAGAGGTGTATCATACCCAAACTCACATGAAGAGGGCACTGTTGAGGATGATTTCGTTCTGGCGGACACCGCCCTTCTCGTTGGCGCGTAGAATGTAGTACAGGAAGTCATTGTGCTCGCGGGTCAGGCCTTCGTCAATGCGTCTGTTTGCATTGTGTCAGTCAAGAGGATGTTATTTGACATCGATGGAATGGATGCTCACTGCATGCACTTCTCTGTGCTCAGCTCGAGATGCTGGAAGCGCTTTCTCCGGAGCTCGGCAGGGATAAGCTTGACAAGTTGGCGCTGGAGGAAACTGTTCGTCTGAAACATGCGGCGGGTGGCCTGCTCGAAAGCGCCAGCCTTGATGGTTTGGGTAATGAGCGAGACCCAGTCGTGCCAAACGCCGTCGCGCAGGCAGCCAAAGGGGCGGCCAAAGGCCATGTCACCGATGATGTCGAAGGTGGTGAAGTCTGCCAGGGTTAGTGGAGGTGTTGGCTGGAATGAAGATTATCACAACACTCACTAAACCAGTCGCACATGTTGACCTCCTTCTGATTGTCGGCGAAAGCGGAGAGTTTTGTGACCATGAGATCGACATAGCCGCGGATGATGGTCTCCTGCTCGAGGAGGGCCTTCTGGCTGAAGGCGTGGCTGAGAGTGCGGCGCTGGCGGGAGTGCTCCTCGTCGTTGGCCATGGTAAGGGTGGTGCTGCCGGGAAGGTCCTGGACGGAGCCGACGTGAATGGGGTCCTTGTGGAACTGGGGGTGACCCTGGCGGTGGCCGTAGATGTCGCGCCAGCCGCCGGCAGTGCTGAAGGAGAGCTCCGAGGGCATGAGGCGGATGACGGGGCCGTATTTGAGGTGTAGCTGGTGGACGTCAAAGGGCCAGCGGCCGCGGAAGAGGCCGTAGATACTGTAGACGGGCGAGATCTTGGCGAGGAAGGGGCCTGGGAAGCGGGCGAGCGGGTGGAAGTAGACATTGTAGATGCACCGCCATACCATGTAGGCAAAGCTCTGTGTTAGGAGAAGAGCAAGTCAGTATTGCTTTCCTGACAATGAAGAAAGCAGGATCGAGGAGAGGGGGAAGAAGAAGGATGAACATACCACGCCAGCCGTGCCGAGGGCGACGACGTGCAGGTTGAGGTTGTCGAGGATGAGTTCGACGAGCCCCATGGTGATGAGAGAGTGCCGTCTCCACGGATCACTGGTGAGGTTGTGTTGTGTTGCTTCTCCGGGCCAGCGTCGCCTGCGGGCTGAGGTTGTGAAGGCTGTGTCGAAGTCGAGGTGTTGGGGTTGTTTGGGAGAGCAGACGGAATCGACGGGTGCGTCCAGCAGGAGGGGGCCGTTATTTGAGCAGGACGTCTTCTCCAACCAAAGTCGGTCCAGGCCGCGGGTCGGAAGGCTCGAGGCACTCCGTTCAGGCGTGCCTGCCTTCAAGACTGTCCCAAGCTACACACATGTGGCCGGACCCCGCCATCAGTTCCCACGCCTTCAACTCACTCAATTCGTCATGCTCCAGGATCATGGCCGCCTCGACAGCCTAGAAATTCCTCCAACTCCCCCACACCTCCGTGCCGCCAAGCCTGCCCTGAGTGTCCCTGAGACCTCTTTTAGCGTCCCGGTCGCAGGAAATCCTTATCCTCCCCTCCAGAGAACAGCCGCGGGCGTCCCTTTCCTGACATCTCCAGGCACCGCCATAGGCTGGCTTCGCCCCAGCGGCTGCGGAACAGCCCCTGCGACTTTCAGGTCACCACACCGGCCCGCATGTCTAGCGTCTGCGTCGTTGTCTCCGGGCTTCCGTAATGCCGGGAGCATGTTCGAGTCTGGCACCCAACTTCTGCAAACCAGACTACAAACTTCTACTCTTCCAACACAGCAAAACAGAACTGCCGGACAAAGCTGCAGAACCTCTGCATGTTCCATCTACATGCAAGCTGGGCTTCAGCCTGGCTCCCGTCGCCCCCGGGTCTGGTTACCCGACTGGCAGGCGAGGCAGGGTCCCCGCCCCCAGTTTCTCCGCACCCCACACAATCCGTCCGCCACCAGATCCCGACTTTGAGTCAGTGTGCACATTTAGGGACTGCTCAATGAGTCAGGGGCGAACCTTTGGGGACGTTTCGGATGCGTGGTCCGAGAGTCTCATTCCGGCTGGCCATTACCACGACCTGGGAATGCTATTTGTGAGAAAAGGTTGCCAAGAAGCGAAATCTTCACGCGAAGAAGAATCTTCCAAGGATGACATGTGCTGCCAGCAGCGTGCTTCGCCATCTCCAGGGGCATCTCCAAGATCTGTATTATTTGCTGCATTTACAATAGATGATAAGTCTCTGTGTTTCCAACTAGTCCTCCGTGGCGCAATTGGCTAGCGCGTCTGACTGTTATTCGCTCGTCTCGAGTGTACCGGCATCAGGAGGTTGACAGTTCAAGCCTGTCCGGGGGAGCAGTTGTTTTTTGCTTTTTGGGCACATTGCCGATCATCCTGGAAGAGGTAGGGAAACCCCGACGAGATGTGCTGCAAACAATAGAGGCTTGTGCAATGCGGTCGGTAGCCTTCTTCCCTTTTTTTTTTTTTTCTTTTGTATTCACTTTTTTTCCTCCCCGTCCTACGAGGTGGGTCTTATGTCAATATCACCAGCCATTGGAACCTTTGGATTCTCCGCGGGCCTGATGATACCTGCAGATACTCCAGCAGGTCCTGAGATGAGAGGCGACAGTGTCTCCCGAACCGGTCTTCTTCAACGTGCGGTGCTACGAGCAAGGGCCTTGGCATCAAACTCAAAGATGCGAAGAGCACTTGAAGTTCGAAGTGTGCCCCACCAATAACAAGTTGTGCGATGGTCGCCGGATGAGGGATTGCTCAGAAAGCTTATGTCTCACTCTAAGGCCCCAATGCCACGACGACCAGAAGAAATGCATGCTTGCTATCTGTGGCAGATTTTACACACACACATGCACACCTCTGGTCCTGCCTCGCCTCAGCCAAGCGACGAAAACATCGACAGCTCTGTTCCTAAGCCCATTCTGTCTGCGGACTACTCTCGGCCAGCGCCAAGTCTCCCTCGCAGGTGACACACTTCTCATCCTCTTTCTAGACCCTTTCTTGCGCTCCGCTTGCGCGTGGCAGATGTTCGTGGCGCTCGGGCTCTTGTGAATCGCACGTAAAGCCGTCTATCATCGTCTACCCGGATGGCATGAAGCCGGAACAATTCTCGATCAACCATTAAACCAGAAGACGTGATAGCACACGATGAAGCTTCTACTCCTCACCAATCTGCTGGCCGTCACAGCTGCTACGGCTATTGCATCGTCGCCAGACATGAGGAGTGAGCCACTCGACATTGTCGACTTCCACGGTTCATGCGCCGCCCTCAATCCCGACTCTCGGATCACTCCTCGCGCTGCACCGGCGACAGTACCGGCGGCAGCCGCGGCGGGCGTAGACCTCCGCTATCTCACCGACATGACCTCCTACGCCTCCTCCACCGTCCCACAGAACACCGCCCTCATCAAAAAGACAATGCAGGCTGCCTCCAGCGGCGGCGGCGGGCCGCCCCTCACGGACCCCAAGACCCAGCAGTCCCTGCGCGACGCCCTCGGCAGCACGCGCGCGCACCTGCAGAACGTCGGGGGCGCGCTGCGCGACGCCGTGCGCGCGATGGACAAGCTCCGCGGCGCTAGGCCGCCCAAGACCGCGGTCGGGACGACGCAGGCGGTGCAACTGAAGCAGGTGGCCGCGGATCTGGTCGCTGTGCTGAAGGCCGCGAGGAGAGGGGTCGTGAACTCGCAGGGCAAGATCAGACCCGTGCTGAGGGACGCAGACAAGATGAAGGGCGGCGTCGGAGGGGATATCGCGGCGAGCCAGAACGCGGCGAGGGCGTGGATCGAGTTGGCGAGGGCGGTCGCGAGGCACTGTAGGAACAGTGGGAGTTCGGAGGGGGCGCGGGAGAAGGAGGCTGCGGCGAAGGGGATGGATGAGGTTGCGAAGTGGGCGGATGTCTACGGGAAGCTGCAGTAAGGGGTGTTCGTTCGAAGGTGAGAAGTATCTGACTATTACCAAGTTCATCAAACTAGACTCGCGACTGACTTTGGAAGCAACGTACACGTGCTCAGATATGTCCTTTGTAGGGCCGTGTGGAATTCTCGTGATTCTGCGATTGAGCATCGACCATGGTGCCACACGCATGACATACTCGACGTAGAATTTTCGAAGACAGACTCGTCCCTACCAGACGTGGATCGCCAGCCGCGTCAACAGAGTGGCACCTCAGGAGAATCACGCGCTTGCGGAATCTTCTCTTGTGGTGCTGTTCCGAGGCGTTCAAATCCTTCAGGTTCCACCTATGATGGCCGCGTGCTGACCATGACCTCCAATGGGTAAACGTATTAATGGCAGTGCTGAACGTGATCTGGGTTGGCAGGGATCAGGCAACGACGGTCATAATGCCTCGGGGTACGGTGGCTACACCGGGTACGATACCCAGAAGTCATAAGACTTAACCCTTCGCAACTGGCAGATCCCCAATGACGCCTTGTTCTTCCACAACTGACCCTTTCCAGCGTCAAATCCGTACCAAACACGCGGAATGGGCCGCACCATCAAGATCCCACCTGCGCTCCGCGAGCGATCGACCCATCTGTGTCTCCGATCGTCCGGTGTCGTCCGGAAGCTCACTCTGAGCGACGCCACCATCGTCGCGATCAAGTACGCGTGCACGTCCCCGTACAAGATTCCCATCTTTGCCCGCGAGGCCGCAGTCTACGCACGCCTCGCCGAGTCCGGCGCCGACCCGTCGCCGTTCGTGATCCAGAGCTTCCTCTGCACCCGCGACGCCAACTTCCTGCCCTTCTACGCCCGGGGGTCGCTCGGGGACCGGCTGCGCGCCAACAGCGAGCATATGTCCGACGATGTGCTCACGCTGAGTCGGATCCTACGGCTCGAGCCGCGGCACCTCGTGGAGCGCTGGGCGGTGGAAATCGCCGCGGGCATGGCGTGGCTCGAGGGGCTCGGGCTCGTGCACGGGGGTCTGGACGTGAGCAAGGTCCTGCTTGACGACGGGGAGCATGTAAAAATATGCGGACTCGCTTATGTCGTGGAGATTGGGAGGGCGTGGGACTCTCCTCACGGGTGCTTGGGCTCATTCATGCCAACGCGGGACGGGTCCGCCTCGGTAAGGCCGGACGGGGAGGACGATAAGGACGCCCACGAAGACGAACAAGGGGGTATCGAAGTCGATGGCAGCGAGGACTATAACATGGACCAGAACCACGACGAGAACGAGTGTTCCCGGCAGCGGTTCCGAGAGTTCGGAGCCGAGTCGGCGCAGTTCGACTTCGGCTCGCTCGTCTACGCTGTCACGCGCGGCCACGAGCCGTACCGCGGACCGGGACGATCCTGGCGGGGCAAGCCTGACGATGACGAGATCTTCGCGATGCTGCGGGAGGGTGCCGTAGAGCCGCCGCTTGATCTGGAAGGAGATGTTCTGGACTGCGTCATTCGCGACTGCTGGATGGGCAGATTTGCGTCCATCAGGGAACTGGGTGAACGAATCCACAGGTTGTTTCCTGGTGCAGGGGAGATGGAATGGAAGGCGATATTGAGCAGGGATTATGGTGAGACGATGCGGAGAGACTGTCAGAAGTTGCTTGATGAAGGATTGTTGGAGTGGTCGGAGGAGAAGTCGAGGTCTTCATGCGTGATACAGTGAGTGCCAACTACTTCATTGGCCGTTCCTTTGACCGCGATTGCGTTATTTGTCGTAACGCTCTACTCGATTCTGCTTGTAGTCATACCGAGACTACCCCTGAAAGTACCAACGACAGGATCTAGGATTTCGTAACAGGAGGACGCGAGAGGGAGGCATCACCCACAATTCTTTTAGTAGCTACACGCTTGTGACAAAGCGGCTTGAGCAGTCCACAGGCAGGCCGCTGTGATCACAATGCAATCGCATCATGTTGTCCTTATGTCCCGTCGTAGACTAGGTTATTGTACCCATATATGACTGTCATCTTGTGGACGTAAGTCCATGCTGCTCGTAGCCGCTCGAGCTTCACCTACGCTAACTCACGGGGTGTATCGGAACCACGGCACGTTATCGGCAAGCTCCCGCTCGTTCAGCTTCTGCTCCTCTGTCAACTGCTGCACTCCAGCCTCGCTCGCAATCTTGTCGCGCCGCGCGTTCTCGCGCCGGACCCAGACGGTCATGAACAGCGTCAGGAAGAACGCCATGCTGTTGGGCAGTGTTAGACAACTTTGTGTCCCTCCCCGTGTGTCAAGTGAAAGATGAAGGCCTTAAAAAAAGGAACATACCTGATAATACCGATCAAGATGCTGTGGCCGATGATGAACCGCGGTCCGTCCCGCGTGAGGTAGACGTACGAAGCGATGATGCCGCCGCAGTTGCCGCCCATGACCTGCATCGCGATGCCAGTTCCGCGCTTGAGACTGCCGCCGATGTTCGCGCCGTTCCAGGCCATGCCGAGAGGGATCTGAGGGTAGATGCCTTTTCGCACAGGATTAGTGATGATCCGCAGTGCGAGAGCAAAGAGTGCAAAAGACTTGACTCACCAATAGCCGCAAACACAGTACCTGTGTACTGGATCGTAGAGTTGGCACTCCCCGCGAGGAGCGCGAAGCCCAGGATGCCGACGAGCTGGAACCCGAGCAGGAACACGCCGCGCTGCTGCACCCTGTCGGCGAACCAGCTGGCGGCGATGGTGAAGATGCACGCGAAGACGTACGGCGGCACGCTCATGAGCTGCGCGTTGTTGGCCGAGTAGCCCATGTTCTTGATGATGGTGGGCAGGAACAGCGAGAAGGAGTAGATGGGGCAGAAGCCGGCCATGCAGATGAGCATGTGGATGTAGATCTTCCAGTCCTTGATGGCCTGCCACACGTACTTCATGTCGAACTCGTTGGAAAGGTGGCCGGTGTCGGCCAACAGGCGGCGCTTGACTTCTCGGCGCTCGTCGTCGCTGAGGAACTTGGCCCTGGATTGGAAAGGTGTTTAGTAAACAAGAAAGCAAATTTCTGGGCCCCAAGGGGAGATCTGCTTACGTGGAAGGATAGTCATTGATGGCCCAGTAAGCGGTGAACGAGACGAGGATGCTCGCCAATCCCTCCAAGATGAAGATCCAGCTCCAAGCGGAGAGCCCACCGGCACCGGACATCTCCGCGATGGCTCGGGCCAGGATACCGCCAAAGGCACCGGCGAGGGTGGCGGCGGAGAAGAACATGGCCATCCGGAACCCCCTCTCGTGGCGACAGTACCATTCCGAGATGTAGTAGTTCACCCCGGGGAAGAGACCGCCCTCGAAGACGCCGAGGAAGACCCTGGTGGTCATGAGGCCTTCGTAGTTTTTCACGAAGCCCTGCGCGATCATGGAGGCGGACCAGAGCACCATGATGAGCGTCAGCCAGACGGACGGCCTCGTCTTCTTC